GACGACGGCGACGCACTGCGCATGCCTTATGGGGGGGGGGCCGACGACGGCGACGGCGACGACGACTAAAACGACGACGACGACGACGACGACGACGACGATGACAACGACGACGACGACGACGACGACGACGACGACGACGACGGACGGCGACGGCGACGGCGACGGCGACGACATCTAAAACGACGACGACGACGACGACGACGACGACGACGACGGCGACGACGACGACCAACGACGACCGACGACGACGGCGACCGACGTCGCCGACGTCGGCGACGACGACCGACGACGACGACGACGACAACGACGACGACGACGGCGGCCGACGCCGCCGACGCCAGCGACGACGACCGACGACGACGACGACGACGACGACGACGACGACGACGACGACGACGGCGCCTGAGAGGAGGAAAAAACTTCGCATCGAATGCATACGAAAGGCAACGCTGGTTTGAGGCAATCTGAGACAATCGTACATGGAAGTTTGATAACTTCTAAACGAAATGCAATCGCTTTTGATGCTGTCATGCAATGGGGTACGCGATCCCCTCGGCGGCGCCGCGAAGACCGCCTTGCGCGCACGATTAAAACACCTGTTCCGCGCCCCGCGGGGTGTATTCACCAGCGCCTGGGGGAGCCATAATTTGTCAATCACAAGCTGACATAATCCGTGGCGCGCAGGAGCTCCCGAGCGGCTGCGCCCAATAGGTCCTCGCACCGAATCTCGTCCACTGCGAGGCCCCAGGTAGTCTGGGCCTTACGCAGTACCTTGGCCACGATATGCCCATCCTTGCCCAGCTGCGTGACCACCATGCTGGTCCGCTTCGGGGAGCCTTGGGGGACCCCCCCACCCCCCTGCAGGCCGCTGAAGCAATACATATATATATATATATAACCAAGTGGAAGCATGAGCAACGCGCCCAAAGGTGCCCCGCGGGCCTGTTGGCACGCGTTGGCACACGGGCGGGCTGGGCACGGGCGCGGACCTCGCGGCTTCCTCTGCGGCGGCCCGTCTCTGCATGGCCTCTATTCGTGCCTCGTGGATGTCCAACAAACGCACCTTTTCCGTGCGCTCCAGGAGCGAGGGGGTCGCCAGAAGCGGGGGCCTGTGCTGCGTTGGCCAAAGTGGACGGGGCGTGTCCTGGCGGCGGCGCGTTGGCCAAAGACGGGACGGGGCCGGCGCTGGCGGCCCCTCTTCACGGATCTGCGCCATCTTCTCCGCCGCCTCCTGCAGCGGGCGGTCGGGCCCGATCCCGGGGCCAAAACCGCCCAAGAAGACCTCCGTGAGCTGGCCCCCCCACCGCGGCCCCCCGCGCGCGATGGATCTCGCACCACGCTCGCGCGGAGCCCATTGTCCGGGGGGGTCCGTGCGAGGACGCTTCCCCACTTGCGGGCCCCTCCTGCTCATGCGGGCGTGCTGCTCGGCAGGGCGGCCTGGCTTGAAGCGCTGCCCCCCACTGTGCCAGGCGCGTAACTCTGGGGTGCGGGCTCCTTCCCAGCGACAGGCAGCACGGCTCTTCCTGTCTGGCCTCTCCGGGTGCCGACTTGGCGGGCGCGCCTGCCACGGCGGCGTCCCGCGCCGACTCGTCCATCGCCAGCTGCAGGGCGATCTCTTCCTCAGACTGGGGCGGGGCGCACGGCTCCTCGGAAGTTCCCTGCGTGGTTTCTCCGATGGCCTCGCCCGGAGACGCATCCGCCCTGAGAGGGCCCCGCTGGGCTCCGGATGGGCTCCTGAGGGGCTCCTGAGGGGCGCTCCTGAGGGGCTCCTGAAGGGGCGAGGTTTGGGCCGGGGGCCGCGGCCGCAAGAACCAGGCTGGCCGTCGGCACGACTGCGGGGGCCACCCGATGCACATCAGGGGGGGTGCCAGCCGTGTAGATATCGCCGATGTGGGCGTCTTCCTTGACGCCGAGATCGAACCGACCCGGGCCTTTGACCCGCGGACGGAGAACCACGGCGGGCAAGAATTGTTCACCCATGGGTCGCCTTCGGGCACATGACGCGGTCTCCGGGGAAGAGAAACCTGGGGCGCGCGCGCGCGGCCCCAGCCGGTTGGGCCCGCGGCTCTCGAGGGGGGGCATTGAACACGAAGGTCCCTCCCTGTGTGGCGCCCCCAGACGCCGCCGAAGCGGGTCGCTCCGCGTGGGGACGGGCTCCCGGCTCTGCCCCGCCGAGTCCGCCAGTGAGGGCCCCTTCCGGAGCTGCCGACCTTTTTCCCGCGCCCACAGGCTGGGCGAGTGCCTCGCGACCACCTGCGGAATTTCTGCAGCCCCGAGGGTCGCAGGAGGAACGCGCGGGGCTGCCGGCCCCTCCTCGCCTGCCGGAGGTGACAAGGGGTGCCCGTCGTCGCTGGGGGCCTCCAGGTGGTAGCCCGCGGCAGACCCTGCAGCGGCTGCAGCCACCGTGCTGGGCCGCAACTTGGCCAGGTCCCTCGGGGGCGCAGTCCCCTTCGCAGAAAGGTGCTTCAACCAGCTCGGAGCCACATGGCTGCGGGGAGGGGGGAGGGAGGAGGCGAAGAGAGCAACAAGGCGAGCGACAGACTGGGAATCCAAGTGTTACCGGCACGGTCCTAACAATAACATGTATATGTATGTATGTACGTATGTGTGTGTATGTATGTCTGTCTGTCTGTCTGTCTGTCTGTCTGTCTGTCTGTCTGTCTGTCTGTCCGTCCGTCTGTCTGTCTGTCTGTCTGTATGTCTGTATGTATGTATGTATGTGTATATAGATACATGTATATGTATACACCCCGCAGCTGCGGATAAGAGTGAGGGGGCGGCGTGGACGTCTGCAGTCTGCGAGCCTCTGAAGAAGCCCGCCGCAGGCGCAACACTTTCAAGCTATAGAGCAAGCCCGCCGCAAGCGCAACAGTTTCATGTAGGTGGGCCGCAGGTTGGGTCGCAGGTTGGTCGCGGGTGGGTCGACGGTGGGTTGGGGGTGGGTCGCGGGCCAGGTCGCGGGTGGGTCGCGGGGTGGGTCGCGGGTGGGTCGCGGGTGGGTCGCGGGTGGGTCGCGAGCGGGTCGCGGGGTGGGTCGCGGGTGGGTCAGGGGGTGGGTCGAGGGTGGGTCGCGGACTGGGTCGCGGGGGGGACGACGACAACAAACAACAACAACAACAACAACAACAACAACCACCACCACCACCACCACCACCACCACCACCACAACTACCACCACCACCACCACCACCACCACCACCACCACCACCACAACAACAACAACAACAACAACAACAACAACAACAACAACGACAACAACCACAACCACAACCACAACCACAACCACAACCACAACCACAACAACAACAACAACAACAACGACAACGACGACGACAACGACAACGACAACGACAACGACAACGACAACAACAACACCAACAACAACAACAACAACAACAACAACGACAACAACGCAACAACCATAATCATCACCACGGATCCGCACTTAAGCCACGCACCCAGGGACAATGAATGGACGTTCGGCCCCCTCATTCTGATAATCGTCACCTATACGACCACCCTTCGGGTGATAAGGAGGTTGGAGGGTGGGCAAGAAGAACTACGTGCTGGCCGGTGCGATGGGTGTAATGATGAGGATTCTGGCGACGCGCCCTCGCGTCAGCGTCGACGCGTGATGACGATGTTGCGCTGCGAAGTAATATCATTATCGTCCCCGATTTCGATCTCACTCGATCGATCTCACTATCGACCTCGCGGCCAGTCTTAGCACCAGTGTTTTCAGCGATTGATCCCACGGTCGATCCCTTTAGCGATGTCCCGATCGATTCCTTTATCGGTACCACTACCGACCTCACAACCAATGTCACAATCAACCTCACTGCCGACCTCTTTACTGATCTCACGATCCATCCCATTCAACCAATCTCATCCCCGATCTCACAATCGACTTCACTATCGACACCAGGGCGGGACACCCCCGGCCACAGCCCGCCCACCGCCGACGGAACACCGACGGGACACCAACCGGACACCACAGGACACCACCGCGCGACACCCTGGGCCAGCGCGCGCCCACTGGGGTTGGTGGGGCGGCCCACTGCATCGGAATCGCCCCAGTGACGGCGGGGTCGGCCCCCTCGCGCGCCCGCGCAGCGTCGCCTCGCCCGTACGCGCGACGCGACCACGGAACCGAAACCGACCTCCTGTTGGGGGGGGCTCTCCGTTCCACAGCGATCTCACCCCCCAACCTCCGAACCAGAGGGCGGCGGCCGCGGGGCGGGTGCACGGGCAGGGCGCCCTCACACTGAGCACCCCATACAGTGCATAGCCCTCGAGCGGCGGAGGAGGGGGAGGAGAGGGAGGAGGAGGAGGAGGAGGAGGAGGAGGAGGAGGAGGAGGAGGAAAAGAGGAGGAGGAGGAGGAGGAGGAGGAGGATGAGGAGGAGGAGGAGGAGGCGGGGGAGGAGGAGAAGGAGGAGGAGGAGGAGGCGGAGGAGGAGGAGGAGGTGACGGTACGGCCAGAAAGGACCCGTCACCGAGCATATGCCAGAAGACGTCTGCGCGTCCGCGTCGCCCTCAAGGGAAGGACGGGGGGCGACGCACACGTCGTCCGTGCGCGGTCGGCTGCTGCAGCGGATCGGGACGCATCGGATCATCGTCGGCCTATCTGAATCGAACTGGGTCGACCAGAATGAGATCGGTGCCAAAACGGATCGACTGGATCGATCGGATCGGCGACGACCGCTGTGGCCCTGCTGGACTGGCCGGGGCCTTCTAGGTCAAGGGCATCACACCGATCCCCGCGCCCGCGAGCAGCAGTGTCGTCACGAGGTCCACCTGGTTGTCGGTGTGGTGCCAGAACTCGGGGAGAGACCACCAGCAGAGCTTCAGCCCGACGTCGAGGAGGTACACGACGGAGAACGCGTTCTCCTCGCAAGCGGAGGAGCGACGGCAGTCAGAGCCGGGAGCGGCAACAGCAGAAGGAGGATCGGCAGCAGCAGCAGTAGAGGAAGAGAAGGCGCGGCCTCCTCCTCCTCCTCCTCCTCCTCCTCCTCCTCCTCCGCATGGAACTGTGGGAGCTCCGCGCGGATCTCTTGGATCGGCGCTGCGCCTCCCCTCTCCGGCGCGCGGAGCGCGCCATGGGGCGCCGCCGGAGGCGCCGCCAGGGGTGTCGCCAGCCGCCGACCCACGAAGTCTGCGAGGAGCTCCGAAAGTGTCCGTGTATGCCGTGTGCTGTTCCTTGGAGAAGAGGGGGAGGGAGAGCACGAGCAGGGGGCGCGGGAGGAAGACGACGAGGACGAGGAGGACGAGGAGAAAGGTCGAGGAGGATGCGGAGGGAGAGCGGAGCGGCAAATCAGAAAGGATAGGGAGAGGGGGGAGCTTGTGTTTGTTACATGCTGCGTGTAGTATGTATACTTCTTCTTGTGTCTGCACAGATGCATGCAACTTGAAAAAGCGCACACACACACAAGCATATCGAAACGCAATAACCACGCGCGTTTGGCACGCTACGGTTCCCGCATACTCTGGTTGTCGTCCAAAGTGCTCGGCATCCGGCAACATATAGTGAATGGCACGCGTTCTTTTTGACTTTCCCAGCAGGGGTCTTCGGGACTTGTTGGGCGGTCTGAAGGTCATCCTGGAAAACTTCTGGGCCCTCTTAGGACATCTGAGGAGCATCGTTGGCCTGCGTACGCTCGTCGTGGCCCGCTTGAAAAAATGTCCTGTGACGTTCTATCATCCTTTTCGGGCTATCCACGGGCACCCTCATCTCCAGGGAGGGCGCACTCTGCCCTTCAAAGCCCCAAGATGGCTTGAAGACGAACCAAGGAGGCCCCACTACGCCCTAAGATGGTCTCAAAGACGGCGCACGAGGTTCAGCAAACGGCCCCAGAGAGGGTCCCAAGAGGCCCCCAGGATACCCCGAGGAGGGCCCCCAGATGCCATCCCATGCTCCCCAAATGACTTTCACGACGGCTGGGAGAGCTCGCAATCCGAACGCTTGCCCAAACTCTCCACAACGGTTAGGCGTGTAGCCCAAAAGGCAGTGGACGGCGGTGGCTCACCGCAGGCGTCTTCGATCCGTCGCCCACGTTGCTTGAAGGAGAGGTGCGCGGCCTGCATCGCACGGCTGGCCCTTCTAAAAGATTCCTGAAGGCCTTCGACCCTTCCGCCAGCACCGCACACAGCACCCAACATCAAGACAACTGCCCTCCGAGCCCGCCAACCTGGTCCAAGATGATCATCAAGACGGACACAGACGGACCAACATTTTCACAGGTGGCCTCCAAGATGGCACGAGGTTCCCAAGATGACTCGAAGTTCGCCCTAGATACCTACAAGACGGCCATGCCGGCCTGCAGGGGTCCCGAGGCTTCCCAGGACAGTCTGAAAAAGCCCAATCGGCCAGGAGGGGACCGATGGACCTAACCAGTTGATTGGTTTCCATTTTCTAACGTTGTCGGATTTCGAACAGCCCGAAAGGGTCCGACAGCATCAAGGCGGCCCAGGGGGGCCCACCCCACGGAGGTCTCAAAACGGCCAAAGCGCCACAAAATTGCCCCCAAGAGCCCAAGAGGTCCAAAAGGCCGCACCAAGGGGGCCCCGAGACGGCCCTGCAGCGACGAACATATCCCAATGACACCCCCCGAGGCTCCCGCGACGGTTTCTGGACGCGTCTGACGGGCCAACAACGCCCTAAGACGATTCAGGAGGCCCCCGGTGGGCCCGGGACGCTTCATTTCGTCGCCCCGCTCACTTCGGCACACCTCGCACACAGATCGTGGCCGCCCGCAGGGACATCCACGGACGGCCCCGCAGACAATGTCCGCATCCCACCCCCCGCCTGCTTCGGCACACCTCTCAAATGGATACAGTCGGGGCGCTGACCTAAGGAACCCTAAATAAGGAACGAGGCCCCTATTTTCCATAAGTTAAACTTCGATTCCATATCGAAAACCTAAGGAAAAACCTAAGGCAAGCTGTGAAACAATCAAGGAACACCGAGCCCCTCCCCAACGAAAAGGGTTCCTTCTCCAGGGCCCCGACTGTAGTGGCCCACATGGATCTCCACCTACGGCCCCAGAGGAAGGGTTCGCATGGCCCCCTCGCCCCTTGCGGCAAACCCCATCACGCGGATCGTGCCCACGGGGAGCACCATCCACAGGCCCAGAGACGAGGTTCGTACCGCGCCCCCCGCGCCCATGCCGGTACACCCGCCACGCGAGCCATGCCCCAGGGGGAGCTCCACCTGCGGCACTGATGGGCAGCTTCGCATGGCGTCCCCCCGCCCCTTTCGGCACATCCCTCGCGCGGGTCGAAGTCGCGCGGGGGCCTCCAAATTGCCAGAACTGCCCTTCTTGCGGGGTGCACGTGGCTCCTTCCAGGGCCACATGATCATCGCAACGTAATAGGCACGGCATTTGGGCTACCAGAATGGGAGCCACCAGGCGATCTGTCTGACTCCCCAGGCCTTCTAGGGGGCCCTCATGCAGCCCTCCTAGGACGCTAAACTCATACATGATTACGCACGTGCCTGGTTATCTCTCTAAGCCTTCAAAAACTCTTCAAAACCGTATTGTAAACGATTCGGGGCCCTCTGGAGCCGCCTTGACGGCGATCTGGAGTCGATCCGGGAATTACTTCTGCCTGGGTTGTGGACCGGAGGCCTCATAAACGAATCTTGGGGCCTGTGTGGAAGTCTCTCGGAGCCCTGTTTGGAGCCTCTTGGGGGTTTCCTGGGGGCTTCCCTGGGACGTTGGGGTCTCTGGGGGGCCTCTCGAGAGCCTCTTAGAGCTTGTCGGGGGCCTGGTTGGGGGCCTCAGGGGCCATCTTTGCGCGGGGGGCTCGTAATGGCAGCTCGGTTCCCCCTCTTGGGCCCATCTTGGCCCCCTCCTTGGGCTCCCTTGGGCCGTCTTCGGAGCTTCATGGTCTGTCTTAGGACCCTCTTGGGCCGTCTGGGGCCCTCTCGGGGGCCTCTGAGGCAGTCTCGGGGCGATGTTGGACCTGTGGTGCCGTTAAACGCATCTTGGGCCGTCGGAGACCCCTGGAGGGCGTCGTGGGGGTGACTTGGGCCGTCTTGGGCCGCCGAGACGGCTGTCCAGCGGCTCTCAGGATCGATTTCGGGCCCCCCATAAGCTGGCCTGGCCCCCGGCACATACATTTGCGGTCGGGGTCGTGGCCCCGGGCCTGCCGAGCCCGGCCCCCCGTCATGTACGTATGTGTGTACACATACATACATACCTACCTACCTACCTACCTACCTACCTACCTACCTACATACATACATACATATATACATACATACATACATACATACATACATACTTACATACATACATACACACAGACATACACACAGACATACATACATGCAGGCATGCAGGCATACACACGTACATACAGCTAAACATATATACGTGCATACATACATACCTGCATACATGCATGCATACATACATGCATGATCACGGACATAACTGTAGATATATACATACATAAAGAGCGAGCATTATACATATACCATGCGCGCCTACGAATTCACTACTGCATAATTCAACAGTGTAGCCTAGTAGACGACACTATAAACTATTGTGCTTGGTGATGGTTTCTGGTAGTACAGAACCGATACAAGTCGATCGTATAGTATAGAATCTGCTTCATTCGGCTATAATACAATGCGTTCTGACAATTTACACTGCTGTACGCCATTCTGTTTAATATTACACAATACGTAAGTACACTATATCATATTATGGTGTACCCCATGCCTTCGTTTTCTAGAATGGCATGTTATAGTAGCTTGTGGGAACTCTGGTTATATCAGAACCTGCGGTCGTGGGATGCATAATGATATGTGCATCTATATAAACACAGAGATTCGATGGATTCCTAAGATGGTGCATTATGTTGTGGAAAACAGATGGGTGAGCTTACAGTGTGATGTGTTGTATTCTGGTATGTTCTATTACAACATCATGCATCTACTGCGAAGTGTATTACATGGGATTGTGCCAGGCTCTTTATTGCCGTAGTGTGTTATGTTTATGCAAGGCGATTTATACACATCTACAACGCTGTAGACACTTATAATATGTTTTGTGTATGTCTCGTCTTATACCAAGGTGAACTATACTCGAGTATAGCACACGACAGTCTTATATACCATATAGCATATGGTAAGACTGTTAGAACATGTGATACAACAGCGCTTTGTTGTTTGTAGCAAGAGGGGAGTGGAGGCCGACCGGGAGAAAGAGGAAGAACCAAGAAGAGGAGGAGGAAGAGACAAGAGCACGCAGTCTCCACGTAGTTGAAATATGTGGGCTCGGGAATGTTGTGAAGATCGTAAACGGACTCCATCACTATGAACAGGACGTTCGTGCCCAGGATCCCCTGCGAGAGGATGTCCAAACGAGACCTCGGGCAGGGGCCTCCACCCTGCTCCTGTTCCTCGAGCTGCTCCTGCTGCGCCTGCCGCTGCTGCTCCCGCTTCTCCTCCTCCTCCTCCTCCTCCTCCTCCTCCTCCTCCTCGCACTTGAGCCCTCACTGTGCGGGCGTGCGCACGCGTGGGCACCTGAGGCAATGTGGGCGCGTCTGCCTCACGAAACCTCGCAGAGGCAGACCAAGCAGGGTGCTCACGGAGGCGGGCCGGGCGATCTGGCAAGGGTGGTGTGCCACCCACGGCCCGAAGGCTCAGGCAGGTTGAGTTGGCTCGGCACTGGGCCAGGGCAACAAATCAAGCAGTGGCGAAGCGTCCCGGTATAGCCCCACCAAACAATGTTCTAAGAACCTTTTGTGGTTCCCACGACGTATTCTTAAAACATTTCTGGCTGGGACTGTCTTGTTTTAGCACATCGGGTTTATGTTCTAAGAACATTCTTTTTGTTCTTAGAGCATTTTGGGGTTCTAAGAACATCTCGTGGTATGGCTATAGGAATGCCGGGACGGTCGGTCCCTGCTCAAACAAACATGCTTCTCTGCACCGGCCGGCGGCGACATAGGCCGGGACTAAGTGATGGAAGGCGCACCCTGGCCACCAGCTGTGGTGGCTCGGCTACATGCTCGAATTGCTTGTGCCACATGCGATCATCTGGGCATCGTGTACGGCCACGGGCGCGGCTCGCGTTGCTCGCGGTGGCGCTCCCGCCAAGTGGTGCTGCGCATCACGCGAGCTAATTTTCCTTTCCTTCTTGCACCGCTGGAGAAACGAGTTTTGACACCAGCATCCCCGTCCTCCCCAGGGTGAGGTCCTACAGGGTATGGCGATGCAGCAGCAGGCCTAGAAGGATCGCAGGCAGGGTGTCGAGGGAGAGAGGCAAAAGGGCCTTGGGAACCTGTCCATGTAGCCGAGGTCGGGCCCGTCCTTGCGGTTGGTCACTAAGCGCCCGATACTCTTCATGAGCCACGTGTCCTCGAATGGGTGATCCTGCTCCTGCTCCTGCTCCTGCTTCTCCAACTCGCTCTCATCCTGGTCTTCCCCCCCCCCCCCCCTCCTCGAGTTCGTCCTCCTCGACCGCGTGTCCTGAAATCGGTCGTGCAACCAAGAGTGCCGTTTCGTCTGACAATAGGAATACTGGAGGACATCGCACATCTCTGTAAACTCCTTGTAGGTGACGACGCCGTTTTCGTCGTCGTCGAGGGCGTCGTAGACGAACCTCAGCGTACTGGCTTCCATGTTTAAACTCCTGTCGCAACTTTTCATGCACAACACGACCTCCTCGAACACGTTGTACGGCACGACGGCTTCCGCGGGCTCATTGGGGTTGGCACTATATTGTTCGATCTTGAGCAGCTCGAATGCTTGGTCGATGCCCTTGTCCCTGTTGCCATAGTCTTCCTTGAGCGATCGAGTCTTCACATCGGTGTACTGATTGTACACGACCGCAAGAACCACCTGTAAGAATATCACGACTGCGAAAATTAGAAATACTAACCACAGCAGCGCATTGACCCTGAAGTACTCGTACGTGGGCACCATCGCGTCTGGCAGATTGGCCGTAGTACCAGCCACGAACGAGGTATACAAAGCGTCGCTAAAGGTTGCGAAGCCAGTGTTTACAGGGCCCGCGCTGACGCGCTCAGTAATATCATTGAACAGCAGAGCAGCAGCCCACGCAAAAACCACAATCGTGCCTGACAGGAACAGACCGACCTTGCTGATTGCAAGTAGGATCTCGTAGAATGTCTCTACGAGGTGTTGAACGAGAGGGCTTGACGCCGCCAAGCCACAGCGCACGAACGGCGCAGCCCGAAAGGCGACTCCATGACAAAACGTGGCTACCACGAGGTCCAGGATGCCAATCAACACCATCAGCCCTTCAAAAAGCAACCATGACGGATTACAGTAGTCGGCACCCTGCTGCCTGAAGAGGCTTTGCAGCTTCCACAGCGTGCATTGCTTCGTTGCAAGGATGGCGTACATCACGTACTCCACCGCCAGACCGCAGCCGATCGGGAGGACGGGCACGCCGCTCACGACAAGCTCTCTCTGCGCGGAGCTGTGCATGACGCACCGCTCGTTCAATGGCCTCCAGTCCCATACCGACGAGGAGCACCACGCAGGAACCTCGAAAACGCTCAGTACGAGGAGGCAGGCCACGGCAACGTACGCCCATTGCGAGATCGTATGATGCCGCACGTACGCTTTCCAACCACCAGGCTCGCAGGGGTAGCTCGCGAAGTACTTGAGCTGCATGGCCTCCACTAGGACCATGGCACCTCAGAGGCATCCCCCCGACCCTTCTGGTCGGTTCTGGAGGCCCTGGACCCACAAATGCTGACGTCTCATTTGAGTCAGCCGCCTTCGGGAATCTACTGACCCTGGCCAAGCCCAAACCCAGGTCAGTCGGGCTCTGCAGGATCCTGCACCCAAGCCCGGATCAATGCTGCCCTGGCCCTGCAGGATCCCGCTCTGACTCACCCCCGTTGGCGTGGACCCCCGCCTCAGGGCCCCGACGTCTTCCGCTGGCCCTGCTCCCGCCGTCCGCCAGCGGGCCCGCCGCCGTGGTACTCCCGCCCGCTTCGCCTGGCCTTCCGCAGGCCCCCCCGCCGAGGGCGAGGGCGCGCCGGCGGCGAGGCCCTGCCCGAAGCCTGCTGCCGGCCCAGCCAGCCCGATCCAGCACCAAGCGCGGGCCACCCCGCCGACCAGCTGGGGCCGAAGGCCCAACCCGCGCCCGATCGCTGGGCGAATGAGCTGGACCTGCGGCCTGATCGTGCCCTCCTCCTCTTCCTCTTCCTCCTCCTCCTCGTCCTCCTCAGGCTCGTCCAGCCCCCCTGGGGATCTTAAGAAGGGAACGCGATGGTAAACATCAGCTTTCCGAGGTCCGCGCGGATCTCTGGACTCGGCGCTGGGACCCCACTCGCCGGCGCCTCGGGCACCGCCCCCCTCGCGCTGCGCGGGCCGGGCGCCGGTCCAGGAAATTCGCGCGGACTCCCGAAAGTGCGTGCGCTCTCTTCTGCGACGCCAGCTCCCCTGGAGTCGTCTGCGCGCGGCACCCAGCTGGGACTTCGAGGCGCCATCTCCCAGCAGGGGCTGTCCTCTGGCCGAACGCGCGCCGCTATCGGTGGCCCAGTGTAGGGGGGTGCATGGCACAGCTACACACGGGCGGCAGTGCAGCAACGGCGAGTGCGGCAACGTGGCGGACAGCTGACAGGTCACCGTCGGAGGCGGGGCAAGACAGACAGGCAAAACGCCAATACCGCACGAGCCGATACGCCGCAGGCGAGCTCGCGCGGTGAACCCGTGGACCAAGGCGGGGACTCTGGATCGTGGGGATAATCCCGCCAGCCCTGTGGGCGGCAGCTGGCCTGATAGCGTGTCCAGAGCTCTCCTCTCTGCAACCCTCAAACCCCGCTCCCCACCCAGGGTCCCAACTTCGGCAGATCGCTGGGCTTCACGGCCTTTTCGCTTGTTTCTGTGGCTGGGCTGGAGGTGCAGACGTGCGAAATCAATATGTAAAACGTACCGGTCTGGGTCAAGCATCCCCTCCAAGATGGGGCCCCAAGGGCGACAGTTTCTACTGCTCGCCTTCTTGTTGCTCCCCGCACGGCCCAGGAGGACTTCAAGAGGCATTCAAGAGTCCTCCGAGTTGCTTCCAAGAGGGTCCAAGAGGACTTCAAGAGATCCCCAGCCCCCAAGAAGCGTCAAAGAGGTCCCCACGGCTGCATGCCTCCCCACAGGAAGCCCTCGGACGGCCGATGGAGCCCCCGAGAGACCAGGAAGACGACCTGAAGGGCCTCCAAGAGACTTCCAAGAAGAATACGGTGGGAGCATTGGAGAAGGAACCCTCAGATAGGGAATCCAGGGTCTGGAGTCTGGAGGCCAATAGAACCCCAGTTGCCCATGGATATTACCCCCGCCCTCATTGGATACTTAATCCTCCAGGGCCTGGCGCCTCCTGGAACTATTCCCTAACAGACGCCTCCACATCAAGATGCCCCTGGGACGCGAGGAGGTATTCAAGAAGACACCAAGAGGCCCCCTGCAGGAGGTGAGTCAAGCGATCCCCGAAGGCGCTTAAGAGGAGTTCACGCCCCTGAAAAAAATCCCAGCTTAAACAAGGACTGCTAAGACGGCCGAGGCGGAGGAGGCGGATCACAAGAGTCCCTCAGGCCGAAACCTTAACAGTCCCCGAAGGTCCCGCGTACACGCATCCCCGGGAGGCTTCCAGACTGCACAAAAGGCTTCTACAAGATCGCCCAGGAGGGCCTCAAGATGCGGGCGAATGCCTATGAAAAGAAGGGCAAGCGTTGCTTTCGCTGAAGTGGCTCTTTCGCCCCATCATCCCCATCAGATCCCCAGCGTTCTGGTTCACCAGTACCCCATCAATTCGGACCTGATCATATCACACAAAGCAGCTCCAGGAAACTGCGAACATGCATGTCTGGATGAACGCGTGAATTATCAAAGGCCACGCGCTGGGTACGCATGCGGAAGACGGGCGTTCCTGGCCAGACGGGCCGGGCGCTGGAAAGACACCTGGCCAGGCCACACGTGCATCCAGTTCTCGCCCAGGCCAGTCGCGTCACGCGTGTCCGCATCCCTGGTACGCCCAAAAGTGCCAGATTCGACCGCACGCGCCCAGACACCATACCACACCAGGCAACGCCACTGAACATGAGAGTCTGCCAGTGCCCGCAAGGCCAACGCGTGCGGGCTGGGGCCCCCCAGCTGCTCTAGACAAGCTGCCTTCCACCCCCCTCCCCATTCCCATACCCCTCCCCTCTCTGACTGTCCTCCCCTGGTGCCAGTTTTTCATCCAAGGTTGTTTGTTGACGGCCCCGAGCCCTGTAAGGGCACCCGCGTGCAGGAACAAAAGCGAACGCCAGCCGTCGTGTTATTTAAGGGCGCGAGGACGCCTGGGACGCCCCCGCCCGCTCATCCATGGATCCTCCTGCCGCCTTTCCGCCGCCACCCGCCTCCCCCATCCCTTCCCCTCACACCAGCCGCCGTCCGGCTGCAAGGACCCTGAGATCCGGCGTAGCGAAAAAAACTGCAGCATCGTCAAAAATCCCACCTGGAGCCCTTGACCCCACATTGCCGAATCATTTTTCGAGCTGGATCGATCTGTGGGTGCCCCCGGGCCCGAAGAAAACCGAACACGCCCAGCCCGAAACAAATTAGACGCTAGGATCTCAGGGGATCCGGGCGCGCTTCACAAGGAACCCAGACATGCGATGTCCTGATGTTTCCAGGGCGGCGCCGTTGGAAGTCCAGACCCTTTCCCCGGGACCGGCTCTTCATACCGAGTCGTTTTTTGGCGGCCCCGAAGCCCAGCGAGGGCTCCCCGAGGCAGAAAGCAGCCAAAGACCGCCCGTCATCATTTTCCATTGCCCGAAGGGATCTGGGTCCGCAGGGATCCGCGAGCCCTCCCTGACCGCGGGAGGGCCCCCGCGCGCAGCGATCGCGGCAGCCCTGCCGCGCCCCCGCGCGCCGCCCGCCCCTGGCGGGCCGCGCCAGAGGCTCGCGGACGCCAGGGGCGCTCGGACTCCCCGGGCCAGCCCGGCACCGCCGAGCCCGCTGAGACACCCAGACGTCGAAGCAGCGCGCGTGCGTCGAGCCTGCCGAGCGTCGCCTCGCGCAGGCAGAGGAGGAGAGCAAGGCGGCGGCTGCCTTGCAAGCCGTCGCGGTGCACCGCCAGACGCTGGCGGCACACGTGCAGCAGGCCAAGGAGGCGTGGGCCACTGTCGAGGAGCTCGCCGAGCAGGAGTTCAAGTCGGTTGCCTTCGCCGATCCCATCGCACATCTCTGCCGAGGCGCCGCTCGCTCATGCGTGTGCGTTTCGAGACGCTGCGCAGCCTGATGCCTGCCATGCCGTCAGTCATCGCGGACCTCCAGCAGTCCCAGTCCGTCCTCGCCGCCAACCTTTCGACGCTGGCGGTCGCCGCGCAGCAGGTTCAGTCCAGCCTGGCCTTCATGGTGCGTTCCCCTGGTGCTGCGGCCGCTGCTGGCAAGGAGCCGGGTACCCCTCCTGCCGAGGGCTTGGGTTCGCGGATGCCGTTGCCCCCGCGCTTGGAGGCGCGCCCGGCGCTGCTGCTGCCGCCTCTGCCCCGTGCGCCAAGGGCAAGGGTGGGCGGGCGCCCCGCAGTGCAACGCGCCGAGAGGTCGGCCAAAAAGCAAGCCAAACGGCAGAGGGCCATCGCCGACTCCCCAGGCCAGGTCATCAGCATATCAGCGCTCGCCAAGACGGCGCCGCCGCATGAGGAAGACGATGACGACGCGGCGGAAACGCCCTACTGTCACAGCGCCTCCACGCCGATGCGCTCGTCGCGAGCGACGACGCGGAGGGCGCAAAGGCAGGGCCCGCTGTCGCGGCGGAGACCGCGCAGCCTTTCACTGGCCCGACGGGGGGCGCAGCTGGCAGCGACAGGCCGCAGGCTGTCAACTGCCCCCGAAAGAATCCAAACGCTGCTTCCCTATCTGGCCTCCCTCGGTAAGAATCCAAACGGCGCGAAGCCGACGTTGCCTGGGGAGGGCGGCCCCCCCCCCCCCGCCCCTCCCCCCCCCCGCGGCCATTGGATGCCCCCGCGCTCCCCCAGGATAAGGATATTGCTCGCGTCGTTCACCAACTTTTGCGCCCGTGGACGCGCGATCTCTGCAGGCGCGCCGATCTCGTTCCTAAACTTTGGCATTCGCCCACTGCCCATGAGTTCCAACTGCTCAACCCCCCAGGCATCTGGGCGATGTCGAGCGTGTCCACATTTGCACGGACGGCTCTGGAGGCGCCAATGGGGCGCCTGGGCGGGGGCCGCCAGCTTGGTCCTCCGCCGTCTTTTCGTCTGATCTCTGGTAAAAGATGTCTGGGCGGGTTTCTCGGCGGCTCGCTGGGCCCGCGCCCCGCCCCCACTTCGGTTGCCCCTCTGGTTGCTGAGACTGTCGCGGCCCAGTGGGCCATGGCATGGCTCTTGCCTTCGGGTTGCTGTTCTCAGGGCGTCCCCATGGCTGTCTACGGGGATTGTATTGGAGCCCTCCGTGTCGCCTCTGGTGGTGGCCGTCCCCCATCACTGCTGGGTCATCGCGAGGCCCTGGGCTCCCTGGCTAAACTGGTTCCCATCTCGGTTCCTACGCTGTCCTCGGAGCACGTCAGAGTGTACATTGGCCACCCTTTAAAGGAGCCCGTGGATGCCGTTGCCCATCTGACTTCGCCTGGCCGCAAGCAGTCCCCCCCCCTTTGGATGACGTCTGCAAATGTTATCATTTTCGGCCCCCGCGCCACCGAGCAGACCACAAGTCGCAAAACTGGTCAACCAATGCCAGGTAGGGTTCGTCAATCGGCGGGCACGTTTGCCAGGCGTCGATTGTTTCTGATCGACGCCCAGGAGGCGCGGTTTGCGCGGAGTGGGGCGTCGGAGGATGGGACATGCCATGCCTATCGTGCTGAGTGTCTACTGTCTACCCGCGGGCCAGCACGGGGGCTCTTTGTGAGTCAGCCTTTCCACGTCGATCCCCCTGGCGTTCGCACGATGCCAACGCGTCGCAGAGGTTTGCACGCGGCGCCGCGCCTGCTCGCGATGGCCTTTGCTGTGGATCACATTCGTCTAGACGTTGATCTCGGCCACGCTCCGCGCCGCAAGACGCTCATCGCCCGCCTCCGTCAGCGGTGGAACCATTGCTGCAACATCGCATCCAAGGCTCGGTCTCCCGATGCCAGGCTCTTCGATGCAATGCTCGCCCTGGGTCTGCCGTCTCTCTTCACGTGGGGCACGTGGCTGCCGCCCAGGAGAACGCCCCGGCCGGCGCCTCCAGCAGCATCTGCGCAAGCTAGATCTCTCGGCACCCCCTACCCTCTGGGCTCGGGCCAACCAGGGTGTCCGCAAGCACGTGGCGCCCGCCTGGGGGGCCAGATAGTTCGGGCCATCGCATCGACGACGTTGCGCGCACGCTCGGTCTGCGCGTCATACAACAGGGCATCCTCGAAGCGATGGACTTGTGTATCAATGCGTTAGACCATGTACAGGTTGCCATCAAAGCACCCGTGCCCGCGGCTGCCAGCAATCTACAGGGCTCTCGTGCCCAAATGGTTCGGTGCGACGCAACA